GGTGTTGCATCATTATAGATCCTGAAACGACAGTGCATGTACATTCAGTTGATGAGTCATTTGTAGATGAAAACTCATCTTATTCCTTTTGTTGATTAGATTACAACTATTTTCCCAAATTCTATCCCATCGTTATGTTATTCCAATAGGGAAACAAACAATCTGTATGTGAGAATAGCTAGCCTTTGATGTTTTTCCTCCACTGAATTTTAACTATTAGTATGATCTTATAGTACTTTTTTTTCTCTTTCCTAACTTATTCCGTATCGGTGCACGTCATTTAACCATTGATATTGTTGATGTCTATATCTTGGGTGGGTTTATTATACAATAACAATAATGAATAATTGAATAAATCTACTTACTTGTGTATGATTCATATTCAGTAAGAAAAAACGCCCGGAAATAAATTTGTTCCACATGTTCTTGTTGTTGCCTTTGTTTTCAGTGCCATTATATGGCTAGGCTAACAAATTAATTATATGTGATGGTAAAATTTCTATCATTAATATTTGAAATAATGCCAGATGCATTTAATCCTTTCTATATATACTACCATTATGATTGTAATAATCAGAAAAAATCATAATAATAACAACAGGTTGTATAAATTCGGTTTTAAATAATGTTCGCTTTTGCTTCATGATGAATAAATTATGAATAATTTCAGTGTATAATACACAATAAAAAAGCAAACAAACAAGTTGATCTATACCATTTACAGTTACCATTAGGTGAATGAATCATTGAACAAATAGTTGAGTTTCACATCTTCAGAAATCACCTTTAGTCAATGGTATTTTGTCAATAATTCGTTTTAACTTACTGAGATGATCAAATCACCTAGATTCAGTCAATTAGTTATGTTAATATTTCAGAAACTACTTCCAGACTTTATTGAAATTTATCACGTCTTGACTATTTATCAAGACCATTTATCACTGTAATATACTTATTTAGTTGTGTAAAGTTTTTTGTTATTTACGAATTTCTCAATACACTTGTTTTGTTGTTTTTACTTCAGTTTATATGTTGAATTATAGATTTTGAATCAATTTTCATTTTTACACATCGGGCGGCAATATGATATTGTTTTGCGTCAATTGTTTTACTTTAGATTCTTGGTGAATATTTTAATCTTGGTGTATAAGTAAGAAGTCGTACTCACTTTACATTTAACATTTAACTGAAAAAGCTTTCAAATATAGACTAAATTATCTAGAAATATAACTAAATATGTTTAGGCTAAACTTAAAATCTATTTACTAAAGGTAACTTAGTAAAATGAACGATTAATAAACAAAGAAGTACAATAAGAATGTTTAACTTTTAGAGAATAAGAATTGAACACTTTTTGGGAATAAGACAAGAAAATGGGCAATTATAGAATTTGTGCATTTACAATGTGAGCTTATCAGTCAGTTTTAATGTAAACTCTCGTTTGACTTACTGATTATTGCTATACTATTATTTTTACAAAAACTTTTGTTCAATTTTGAAACTAGTGTAGTGAAGGAGAACACAGGTGAGGGCAACCGATTGTATTTAACCGAAAATTACAGAGTTACTCAGTAAAATAGGAAAACCATATTCGTAGATCGTTAATTTGCAAATCTTCAATCCATCATCAATCCATTGTCTGACATTTCACTTATTCATGCGTTTCATACAAATTCCATTGTTTTCTAACTCTTCCTTTCCTGATCTTCCCCCATCTTCTGCTGCCAGACATTACGTTTACACTTGCCTCATATACTACTTATAAGTAGCGAGCACCACACTAGTAGTTTCACAATGATTAAGTGTATGGAAGAATATTGGTAAGTAATATATATTTCTAAATGTTTGTTAAAAGAAAAGAAAAGAAATTAAAGCAAGCGATAACAAGTTTCATCAGGTATATCGTATATATGTATAAGTAAGATACTAAAATAACCGTACGCGAATCAGCTATCCAATAATGTTAGTGTTAAATACGTGAGATTTCAGTGTACCAACAATGTATGTCGTTTGTTGTGAAATGTGTTCAGATTGAACTGAGAGTATAAAACATATATCTGTGTATTTATTTATTTATTCAAAAACAAATGATCAGTCAGTCAATCAGTTAGTTGCAACGTAGAACTTCGTACGTATGTACATAAGTTCATGTTACCATACCACATTAGCACAGAGACTCAGATGTCAAATCAAATCCCGTAGTGATAAAGATAGTAGGGGTATTAATGGTCACGAATAAGAACGATTTTGAGCCATATCGTTCAAGGTCTCTAACCATTGGTGACTTTCGTCTCGCGGATCCTAACCAGGTAGCCTACATCTACCAACATGACTCAATCCACTAGTCAGTGACTTCATGGATTTCTGCCATGTTTTGGTCTGGCCGCCCCTAGCTTTCTTCCAACCTACTCCTACACTACAAAACATAGCTCGTCGAGGTAGTCGGTGATCATTTATGATTCTAGGGTATAGTTTGGATCAAATCAGTTATTCGAGTTAATAACCACAAATTACATTTGTCAGAATATGTATAAATTTTATTTTTATGTTATTATGTTAATCAAACCAATTATTAAGATAATATTTTACTAAATAATTAAAGTAATGCTGCTAGTTTTAATGTTAATATACAGAGTAGTCGATTTTATTTATATTTACGTGTTAATTATCAATTTCTATGTTGTAGCTAATTGCACTCCATCTTGTCTACTTTAATTATTTAGGTTTGGTTGTATATTTTTTAGAGGTTTAGCTGTTACTTTTACAGTATATAGTCCCAAACTATTTTAAACAAATCTAATTCTATCGAAATCAATTTTATGTTTCATCTTTGATTAATGCAGTATTATCGAGGATCTGGGTTTTTGTTTTTATATTTGGGAACATGTTTCAAACAATTATTGTTTGTAGATTATACAGTTGGTTGAATATGAAAGTAAATAAACTGTGAATTTTCATTGTAGATTGTTCACTGTTTTCAAACGTATTTCTGTTTGCGTAAAAGGCGCACGCTCTTTACTCTTTTCTTGATTTAATGTTCAGTATGATTTCCAAACATTTGTTTTTACAAAAAAACAAACCATATGAAACATTTGGTGTTATTGTGAAAATCCGATTAATTGGACAGTGTCTAAACTGTTACTAGTTAAATCTTTTATGCTCTTGTGCATTCAATGCCGACGAATTAACACTATTTAATTTATACTATTCCTTTGTAATATATCATTATATATATATATATATATATATATATATATATATATATATATATATATATATATACAACTACTAATTAACTAGATATGAAAATGTCTATTCAATAGATAGATTTTAAGGTATTGAACTGACAGCGGTCAACAATAATTAGCTTATAGCTAGCTGAATAAGTTTATACAATTTATGAAGTCGAAATAGATTAGCCTCTTTAACTAATCAATATAACAAAATTGGTGAGTTATTAATTTTATTTCGTGATAATAATCTAATGTCAATAATTCACATGATTTGATTGCATACTTTCTTTTGTATTTTCATTCTTATCTAATAGGACTGTAATCAAATTAATTTCAATGCAAATTCATTCAATCAAGGGGATAGTTTAAAATCCGCGGAATTTCTAGGATCTATGAATGGAAATCATTTACCATTGTCTAAAGATTTTCAAAATACTGCTTCTTGTAGTTGGCAATTTATCTCACCTATTACCAATAGTCCAGGAATTCGAGAAGAGGAAAGACAAAAAAATGTTATTCCTCCTCCACCTGAATATCCACCGCCGCCTTTACCGTCGGGTTCGACAAGATTATGTGATCTGCCTAATCTATGGATTCCAAATTCTGAACCACCTAGTGACCTGCATAGGCCATTTGAACTAAAGGAGCATCAATTGCGTTTTGTTTCAGACGACAGTAGTTTACCAAGTGGTGGAAGTGAGTATAAAACGACTGTTGTCTTTGTTTTGCATTGGTATTTTGTTGTCTTATCTGATTGACTATTTTAAAGAAACTTTAAAAATGCAACTTTGTTCATTCACTAAATATAATGGTGAAAAAATTGTGCTGTATTTGCTAACATCCAATTATTTCTCAAACTGATATTGTTTTGTAAATCTAAATCGTATATTCGTCAAAAGGAATAAATATATCAGTGATTTATTGAAGGAAATCTTTTTGACAATCATGACATATTGTTGAAATCACAAACCGGTCAAAGTTAGACAGCCATAGAAGAAAACCTGGAATCTCTGGGTGACGTATACCTCTGCAACGCTGATACTATCCATCAGTGCTGTGTGCTGTTGATGGCGTGGTACTGATGTTTGTCATCACCGGGCAGAAGGCCGGATCGCGTGCAGCGTGTCATAAGCTATTCTCCACGTTGCCGACAGGGTACCACACGACCACGGTGCTGGCGGAGAGGAGAATACGGGATCAAATTTGGAAATCATATTAGTATCACGTTCTTGGGTGTAAAACGGTTTAACTTGCATAGGACTACGATACATACGCAAGTATCTGACTGTGCGACTGAATTCAACTCCTCAACAACAACCACATCTGTGTGTGGTGACATCACACATCTACAAAGGTAGAGATTCCGTGCTCATACTGTGTGGCTATACAGACATCTAGTCCATAAGTTAAACGTTTTACACCCAAGAACAAAAGATTTAAATTTGATTCCCGTGTGCGTGGTCGTGGAGGTGCACTGATGAGGTGTCCATACACGAAGACTAAAACGTCACCCAGAGATTCCAGGTTTTCTTCTATGGCTGTCTAACTTTGACCGGTTTGTGATTTCAACAATATGTCATGATTGTCAAAAAGATTTCCTTCAATAAATCACTGATATATTTATTCCTTTTGACGAATATACGATTTAGATTTACAAAACAATATCAGTTTGAGAAATAATTGGATGTTAGCAAATACAGCACAATTTTTTCACCATTATATTTAGTGAATGAACAAAGTTGCATTTTTAAAGTTTCTTTAAAATAGTCAATCAGATAAGACAACAAAATACCAATGCAAAACAAAGACAACAGTCGTTTTATACTCACTTCCACCACTTGGTAAACTACTGTCGTCTGAAACAAAACGCAATTGATGCTCCTTTAGTTCAAATGGCCTATGCAGGTCACTAGGTGGTTCAGAATTTGGAATCCATAGATTAGGCAGATCACATAATCTTGTCGAACCCGACGGTAAAGGCGGCGGTGGATATTCAGGTGGAGGAGGAATAACATTTTTTTGTCTTTCCTCTTCTCGAATTCCTGGACTATTGGTAATAGGTGAGATAAATTGCCAACTACAAGAAGCAGTATTTTGAAAATCTTTAGACAATGGTAAATGATTTCCATTCATAGATCCTAGAAATTCCGCGGATTTTAAACTATCCCCTTGATTGAATGAATTTGCATTGAAATTAATTTGATTACAGTCCTATTAGATAAGAATGAAAATACAAAAGAAAGTATGCAATCAAATCATGTGAATTATTGACATTAGATTATTATCACGAAATAAAATTAATAACTCACCAATTTTGTTATATTGATTAGTTAAAGAGGCTAATCTATTTCGACTTCATAAATTGTATAAACTTATTCAGCTAGCTATAAGCTAATTATTGTTGACCGCTGTCAGTTCAATACCTTAAAATCTATCTATTGAATAGACATTTTCATATCTAGTTAATTAGTAGTTGTATATATATATATATATATATATATATATATATATATATATATATATATATATATAATGATATATTACAAAGGAATAGTATAAATTAAATAGTGTTAATTCGTCGGCATTGAATGCACAAGAGCATAAAAGATTTAACTAGTAACAGTTTAGACACTGTCCAATTAATCGGATTTTCACAATAACACCAAATGTTTCATATGGTTTGTTTTTTTGTAAAAACAAATGTTTGGAAATCATACTGAACATTAAATCAAGAAAAGAGTAAAGAGCGTGCGCCTTTTACGCAAACAGAAATACGTTTGAAAACAGTGAACAATCTACAATGAAAATTCACAGTTTATTTACTTTCATATTCAACCAACTGTATAATCTACAAACAATAATTGTTTGAAACATGTTCCCAAATATAAAAACAAAAACCCAGATCCTCGATAATACTGCATTAATCAAAGATGAAACATAAAATTGATTTCGATAGAATTAGATTTGTTTAAAATAGTTTGGGACTATATACTGTAAAAGTAACAGCTAAACCTCTAAAAAATATACAACCAAACCTAAATAATTAAAGTAGACAAGATGGAGTGCAATTAGCTACAACATAGAAATTGATAATTAACACGTAAATATAAATAAAATCGACTACTCTGTATAATTAACATTAAAACTAGCAGCATTACTTTAATTATTTAGTAAAATATTATCTTAATAATTGGTTTGATTAACATAATAACATAAAAATAAAATTTATACATATTCTGACAAATGTAATTTGTGGTTATTAACTCGAATAACTGATTTGATCCAAACTATACCCTAGAATCATAAATGATCACCGACTACCTCGACGAGCTATGTTTTGTAGTGTAGGAGTAGGTTGGAAGAAAGCTAGGGGCGGCCAGACCAAAACATGGCAGAAATCCATGAAGTCACTGACTAGTGGATTGAGTCATGTTGGTAGATGTAGGCTACCTGGTTAGGATCCGCGAGACGAAAGTCACCAATGGTTAGAGACCTTGAACGATATGGCTCAAAATCGTTCTTATTCGTGACCATTAATACCCCTACTATCTTTATCACTACGGGATTTGATTTGACATCTGAGTCTCTGTGCTAATGTGGTATGGTAACATGAACTTATGTACATACGTACGAAGTTCTACGTTGCAACTAACTGATTGACTGACTGATCATTTGTTTTTGAATAAATAAATAAATACACAGATATATGTTTTATACTCTCAGTTCAATCTGAACACATTTCACAACAAACGACATACATTGTTGGTACACTGAAATCTCACGTATTTAACACTAACATTATTGGATAGCTGATTCGCGTACGGTTATTTTAGTATCTTACTTATACATATATACGATATACCTGATGAAACTTGTTATCGCTTGCTTTAATTTCTTTTCTTTTCTTTTAACAAACATTTAGAAATATATATTACTTACCAATATTCTTCCATACACTTAATCATTGTGAAACTACTAGTGTGGTGCGCGCTACTTATAAGTAGTATATGACGCGAGTGTAAACGTAATGTCTGGCAGCAGATGGGGGAAGATCAAGAAAGGAAGAGTTAGAAAACAATGGAATTTGTATGAAACGCATGAATAAGTGAAATGTCAAACAATGGATTGATGATTGATTGAAGATTTGCAAATTAACGATTTACGATATGGTTTTCCTATTTTACTGAGTAACTCTGTAATTTTCGTTAAATACAATTCGGTTGCCCTCACCTGTGTTCTCCTTCACTACACTAGTTTCAAAATTGAACAAAAGTTTTTGTAAAAATAATAGTATAGCAATAATCAGTAAGTCAAACGAGAGTTTACAATTAAAACTGACTGATAAGCTCACATTGTAAATGCACAAATTCTATAATTGCCCATTTTCTTGTCTTATTCCAAAAGTGTTCAATTCTTATTCTCTAAAAGTTAAACATTCTACTATATTGTACTTCTTTGTTTATTAATCGTTCATTTTACTAAGTTACCTTTAGTAAATAGATTTTAAGTTTAGCCTAAACATATTTAGTTATATTTCTAGATAATTTAGTCTATATTTGAAAGCTTTTTCAGTTAAATGTTAAATGTAAAGTGAGTACGACTTCTTACTTATACACCAAGATTAAAATATTCACCAAGAATCTAAAGTAAAACAATTGACGCAAAACAATATCATATTGCCGCCCGATGTGTAAAAATGAAAATTGATTCAAAATCTATAATTCAACATATAAACTGAAGTAAAAACAACAAACAAGTGTATTGAGAAATTCGTAAATAACAAAAAACTTTACACAACTAAATAAGTATATTACAGTGATAAATGGTCTTGATAAATAGTCAAGACGTGATAAATTTCAATAAAGTCTGGAAGTAGTTTCTGAAATATTAACATAACTAATTGACTGAATCTAGGTGATTTGATCATCTCAGTAAGTTAAAACGAATTATTGACAAAATACCATTGACTAAAGGTGATTTCTGAAGATGTGAAACTCAACTATTTGTTCAATGATTCATTCACCTAATGGTAACTGTAAATGGTATAGATCAACTTGTTTGTTTGCTTTTTTATTGTGTATTATACACTGAAATTATTCATAATTTATTCATCATGAAGCAAAAGCGAACATTATTTAAAACCGAATTTATACAACCTGTTGTTATTATTATGATTTTTTCTGATTATTACAATCATAATGGTAGTATATATAGAAAGGATTAAATGCATCTGGCATTATTTCAAATATTAATGATAGAAATTTTACCATCACATATAATTAATTTGTTAGCCTAGCCATATAATGGCACTGAAAACAAAGGCAACAACAAGAACATGTGGAACAAATTTATTTCCGGGCGTTTTTTCTTACTGAATATGAATCATACACAAGTAAGTAGATTTATTCAATTATTCATTATTGTTATTGTATAATAAACCCACCCAAGATATAGACATCAACAATATCAATGGTTAAATGACGTGCACCGATACGGAATAAGTTAGGAAAGAGAAAAAAAAAGTACTATAAGATCATACTAATAGTTAAAATTCAGTGGAGGAAAAAACATCAAAGGCTAGCTATTCTCACATACAGATTGTTTGTTTCCCTATTGGAATAACATAACGATGGGATAGAATTTGGGAAAATAGTTGTAATCTAATCAACAAAAGGAATAAGATGAGTTGTTTTCATCTACAAATGACTCATCAACTGAATGTACATGCACTGTCGTTTCAGGATCTATAATGATGCAACACCAAACATTCATAACCAATATTGTCAACCTAGTTAATGAATTATGACAGATGTTTTTGCTCCGCCGAAAATCAGTTGTTTTTTAAAGTATTAAATTTCTTGTGATTAGGCTACAGAAATGAAATGAACAACCTATAATACTTCCCAGACTCTCCTAGAGAATTACAGTCTAATCCATAATTAAGAAAACCGATTATCCTGGTGTCCACATTGCAAAGGCTATTTGATAAAATTATATTAGAACACAAGAACTATAACATGAATAGATTTTGTGAATAGATGTTAGCTACTGAATCATTTCAACATTATTAAAACTCTTAGGTTGATGGAAAACCTTGAAGAAGGATACGTTTCTCAAAGATTTTCAACATCAAGCTGTCAAGGTTGAAAGTTAAACAGTTGGGAAATTTTTTTTATGAATAATCATAGTCTACTATGAAGCGAAAAGGCTGATAATAATATAAACGACCAAGAAAACTAATTTCAGGTATAGAATATTTCTGTGTAAATTAACAGCATCGCGTAAAATGAGTAAAAACTGTCGAATTCATTAAAATATCAAGAAGTTATGTATCGTAAAGCTAGTGCATTGGAACCATTCTTAACAACCTTATTCTTTCATTTTTATTCTTCGAATAAAACTCCGTTTCAGAAACTAATAGATACCTAGATGAGTCCATTTCATTCTTAGAGAGAACGGTTTTGAAGAACTACCGGTGACAATTCGAATTATAAGAAATATTGAAATTCAAATCCAATAGAGAGTATTCGTACGTTTACTAGATTTCGAATTATATGTGCCTTTGAAGCATTGCTCGTATGGTCTTGGGACAATCGAGTAAGCGACGTTGTTGTTTAGGAATCGGGTACTAGGTGAGGATGGCAAATCAATTGATGCAGTGGAGTTTTTCACAATTTGCAGTGGTTTTGTGTATGTATGTATTTTATGGGTAATGTCCTTCTCTCAAATTCCAATCCTCTGAATTCCTCATGATATTTTTCCTTCTTTTCAAATTTAATTCAATGGATTATACCCCTTGGATCATAATCTTACAACCCTAATCTTTTCTATTAAGACTAATACTTCTACTACCCAAAACTACTATGGAATATCAATGCACAACTCCATCTCTCTATCTTAATGTAGTATGGCAACTTGAACTGATGTACGTACGTAATGAATTCTACGGTGTAGCTGACTTACTCATATCAAATAACCTAAAATAAATTACCAAATTTTCGGTTTACTCTTTCGTTTATCAAAAACCCACGACCTAGGAGAGAAATGTATGGTGAAAGTTTTGGTTGTACTCTAGAAATCTTGAAACGATCATAAGTGAATTGCAGCCCCGAAACGGAGTTAAAAATATTAAAATCGAAAATAATTTACATAATTGAAAAGCTTCATCAGATAGTAGGATAGAAGAAGCTTTTCTACAAGTGATCACTCAT